TTTGGTGTCCTAGAAAATAAAGGTATAGCATTTAGACATTTTGAGTTCTAGGTTGATGGGTCCATTATGAACCGAAAAACATGATTTGAGTATCCACTGGCTTTTGCATCCAGGGAATTGCGATTCCAATCTGGACAATTTTACAAACAAATCAAATCCATAGGCTCAGCAAATACACGTGCAGACATTTCTTCTTGTTCCTCATCATCCAGGACTTTGAGACTTCGATCGTAAAAGCTTATAGACCCAATGCAGTACCAAAAATGGTAGGCTGTCACAATTCTCAAAATTTTATTCCTTGAGTACTAATGAAAACCAAAACGTTTTCATAGTCATGAAACAATAATAAACATCTTATTTTTTATCAATGATGATACTGTCACTATTTGCTTTGCAAATTATGCTCCCAACTCTTTTGTTAGTTTCCTTTGTGTGTGTGTGTGTGTGTGTGTGTGTGGTATACAAGTCTGACTGTATAAGCACTTTGGCATTGAAATGATGATGAAACAGATAAAAAGAAATGAAACACTTACTTGAAGTGTAAGTTTCTGCATAACATAGCTGCTATAACTCTTTTTTTTTTTTTAATGCTTACAAATAAGATTAATCTGCTTTCTAATTTGGCAAGCTTTTATTTTCCAATATGGTAGGAAAATACTGTTTGAGCAGAAGGTGCTTCTTTGGGTGCTTTCCTATTTGGATACCAAGAACATTAAACAAATTACACTTACCCCTTTGCTTTCTTCCTACTACTCCTCCATCACGCCCTCTAACTTTTCTACTTTACCCCTTTGCTTTTCACCTTCCCATCTTAAAAAAATTATACATTGATTCGGGCACCGCGCTTTCATAGTAATTTTCTAACATTTCATAGTAATTTAGTTATTTTGTATAGTAATCTCCTAATTTTATAAAATTATGTGATTATTACACCAATATTATGTGATTTCTATATAAAGTTATTGAATTATTATAAAATGTTAGAAAAAGAGAACAGAACATGAACTTCTGATTCAATCAATAAACAAGTTAGTAAAACAGAGAAAATAAGCGCAGATATAAAAAAGTGGGTTTGAAATTTCAAGACTTTCCCCGTTCTTTCCTTCCATTTTCTTCACACACCTCACACCGTCTCTTCTCCGTTTCCATGGATGCTTCACCATTTTCATTCAACTTCAACTGTCTTTTTCCTCTCAAGTGCAGCTCAAAGAAACCTTTCCAAAATTTCTGGTCTCTTCTGGTGCTCTAATCCTCCCAATTGTTGCTTTGACAGAGCCTGAATCATGCCCTGGTTGACACAGGATGTTGAGTCATGAAGTTTAGGCAAGTCCTTTCTGCCATTTACATGCTGATTTGAAGGTAACTGCACTTGAGCAGGGCACATTGCATAATTTGCAGAAAAGGTTGTCTCCTGGATTCTGGTGATCATCATTGTTTTGGACTAATTTTGGCGTTGGAGGTTCCAACAACTCAAGATTCCTTGTAGACGATTTTCTTTTCTACCGGAAAGAACAGGACTAGAACATGGCCTTGGATTTGGATTTCAGGTTGAACCATTAAAGCACAGAAAAAAAAAATGTTAATATACTGATGAAGGAAATATTCATTATAGATTTACAAGTAAGACTCAGATGTGTATAAACATTAACCAACATTTTGAAACAGAAAAAAAAAAGAAGAAAAAGTGTTTACAATGAAGAGATGGAAACAGTTGAGTCTGTAGATGAATAAAACCTTTATAATTCAAACAACGGAAACAATCAATACCCAATTTAACCTGCAAGAGAATTCATCAAGAAGCAAAATTTTCCGATGCAAATTAATTTCTTACAGGTGAATTCAGTAATTCGATTATTTTTTTTGGAAAGAGATTCAACCCTAATCATTTAATGGTCTGAAGAGTAGGGATATATGAACAATTGCAACAGAGAAGATGCTGTCCTTTGAGATCATGGAGAATAATACAGGACTGAAAGTTCTGATATGACATTGTACAAACATTATATTGATGGGTTCATACACTTTCCCCACTTTGTAGTTACCCACCTTGCTGAATCTCTTAATTCTAGCCATTAGATCGAAATAAAAAATCTAACCCATTAATTTTTTCTCTTTTTTTCAAAAAATAAAAATAAAAAAATTCATTTTTGGTGCAAGTAAAATTTGTAGACTAAAAATCATTCTGTATGACAACAAAATTTGACCAACTTCTGAAATAACAACAGTTATTGTTGTTTTGCAATCCAATTACATGAATAGAATCTCCACTAATTTCCCACAAGAAATACCTATAAGCAATCCATTGCTTATCTCTTTCAAAAAACTCATATATATACAACCTGAAGAAGTGGAAAATGAACTTGAAGACAAAAAACAAAATGCCCATAATTTCCTCTGTGATTGGTACCCAACAAGAGATGCTGCCATTACCATGTTTTCTCTTTACATGAAGTACATGAAATAATTGCAGATGGACTTCATAGAAAAAAAATGGAGTGAATTTTTTTTCTTCATCAACATAATAAGTGATGAGTATTTGTGTACAAAAAAGAATCAAAGCAACAAAATTGCTGTGTATTATATCAAACATTTGTGCTTGTAAAAGTATATGTAACATAAACCTATAATTGTACACTTATCTTTTTGATCATATCTCGAATCAAACCCTTAATAGGGAGGACTTGATGATCCATAAGATAAATCCCCTCTATATCCAGATATCTTGATTAGCATTGCCAGAACCTCTTTCATGTTTGGTCTGGCTTGTGGTGCCTCTGTGGTACACCTGACTCCAATTTGCAACAAGGCGCACATCTCCTCTGCCCCTTCTGCAAGTCCAGACCCCAGAAGCACAACTGGTATCACAGCCCTTCCTTGTCCTTTTCGGCCTTGTCCCATTACCCTTTTTGCCCATTCCACCAAGCATTCTTCCCCTCCATCAATAGCTCTCCTCCCGGTAGCCAGTTCCATTGCCAGCACTCCGTAACTATACACGTCTCCTTTTGTTGTTGCCTGCCAAGTTTGGCCATATTCTGGTGCTACGTAGCCAATTGTCCCAGCAACCATTGTGCTTACGTGGCTATCTCCAGCATCAACAACTCTAGCAAGCCCAAAATCTGTGACCCTTGCCTTGCCATCTTTATCGAGCAATACGTTGCTAGCCTTGACATCACGGTGAACAATGGAAGGGAAGCATTCGTGATGTAAAAACACGAGTGCACGTGCCACATCAATTGCAATATCAATTCGTCTTCGCCACGTTAGTCTTAGTCTATCTGATATAAGTTCCTCCAGGCTCCCACCTTCCATGTACTCGTAGACCAATATTTTCTCTGAACCATCAAGGCACCATCCATAAAGTGTGACAAGATTTGGATGAGGCCAACCAAAGACATTTCCACTCAGAACCTCCATTTCAGCTCTGAACTCTTTTTCGCCTTCAGTACCTTCTCTTTGTAGCTTCTTCACTGCAACTTCTCTGCCATCAGGCAATATGCCATGGTAAACAGTTCCAAATCCTCCCTTCCCAATGATTCTATTCTCTGAAAAATTTCCAGTGGCCTTCAAAATATCAGCATGTGTGAATGCTGTTTTATCCAAACGGATGACCTTCACTGTCCCTGACAACCATGGTGATGATCCACCAGAGCTTGACGCCATGTCATGTCGGTACTTTGTATCCTCTAAGAGATATCCTGAGTCTGCAGAGCTCTTCACCAATACACAGATTACTAGTGATACAACTCCAATAATTATGAAAGCCAGAGAGAGGGATATGAACACTAGAAATAAAGCTATCTTTGTTGACTTCTTTTGCTTCACATTGGAGCCTGCATCTTTTGGAGGCTGTGCAGAATTGTTAATAAAAATTGGGAGATGCAAGAGTGGATTTCCCAAGTATGAATCTTTTTCAAAAGTTGCCAATTGCCCAGTTGTTGGGACTACGCCAGAAATGAGGGGATTATATGAGATATTGAATTTGTTCAGCTCAGCTAAGTTATTCAAGCTTGCTGGGAAGCTTCCAGAGAAGTTGTTGTAAGAGAGATCAAGATTCTGCAGGCACTTTATATCGCCAATTTCTGTTGGAATCTCACCAGAAAATTCGTTCCGAGTGATGTTCAGGACTACGAGAGGCAACATTCCAATCTGGGAAGGCAGCTTTCCTTGGAGCTGATTGAAACCCAAATGCAACATACTGAAATTCTGCATCTTGCCAATATCTTGAGGAAGATCACCTGAAAGCTTGTTGCCACTAAGTTGAAGATAACCAGAGATTTTATATGTTCTTACCTTTGAACCTACAGAACATACTGGGAAAAGACTGTTCCCTTTAAGCAATCTGTCCCATATGCTTCTACAACTCTTCCTGGTAAGAATTGTGTATACAAAACTGAATGGTGGATAATCTGCAGGAATCCACCTTTTCATAGCTAAGCACTCACCAGAACCAGCAATCACTCGTTCGTTTTGCTGGTTTGACGCAAATGTTGCACTAGGATTAGATCCCATTTTTGCCAATTCAGGGGGGATTTTCCCCAAAAATTGGTTGTTTGCCAGGTTTAGCCATAGCAGGCTGTTACAGTTTCCAAGCTCAGGTGGGATTTCGCCTGAGAGGGAATTGTTTGCTAGCATTAACCACAAGAGGGAGCTCAATTTCCCAAAGGAGTCTGGTATAGATCCAGTAAGCCTATTAAAAGATAAATCGAGAGCTTGAAGATGAGGCAGATTACCATATTCTGGTGGTATACTACCATTGAACTGATTGTAGGCAAGGATTAAGATTTTCAAACTTGGCATTTGAGAGATTTCGATTGGTAATGGACCAGAGAAATTGTTGTAGCTCAGGTCTAATCGAGCAATGTTGGGTAATCGGAGAATGCCCGAAGAGTTAATCCCTCCTGTATATGAATTACCGTGCAAGACAAGAAACTTCACCTGAGTAAATCTCCCAAAAATCTCCTGTATCTCTCCACCAAAGTTGTTCTTGCTCAAATCCAAAAATGCCAAGTTTTTCAAGTTCAACAGAGATTCAGAAATGTTCCTAGAGAAGCTATTGTTCCCCAAGAACAAACCTTGAAGGGTGGAAATAGACCCTATCTCGTCCGGAATTTGCCCCGTGAAATTGTTTCCCCAGAGAATCAATATGATCAAATCCCTACAATTTGAAATATCCTTAGGAACCACTCCTCTGAACATGTTATCTGACAAGTCCAAAACCTGCAGACTACATTTCTCTGGAAACATTGAAACTGAAAGGTTCCCGGATACATAGTTTTCCGATACGGAAAACTCCACAAGCCTGGCAAAATCACTCCATAACTCTCCATTGAAATTATTGGAGCTCAAGTCTAGATACTTCAGATTCAAGCAGGCATCAAAGCAGTTATCAATCCTACCCGTGAAGTTATTCGTTGAAAGATTAGCAACAACCAATCTATTGCAGATTGCTGGGAAAGTAGACTGAATCTCTCCATAAAATCTATTGAGAGACAAATCAAGAGTCTCCAGATTACTTAGACCAGCCAAGCTGAGGTCCCCTTGGAGGATGTTATGTGAAAGATTAAGATATTTCAGGTTGTTGCAGCGGTTTATATCAGCCGGAATGGGACCCTGAATGGTGTTTCGTGACAGATCAAGATAGGAGAGTTCTGTTAAAGAAGAGAAATTTCTGTACATTTCACTGGCAATGTTGCAGTCTGTAAGGTTGATTCCATTAACTCTTGAGTCATTTTCAGTGCAGAGAATTCCAGGCCATGAACATGGATTTGAGCTCTCCTGATTCCATTTTGAGTATCTTCCTCGGTTCACCGGATTATTTTTTTCCAAAAAAGATTTCAGGTCCAACAAAGCTTCTCTGTCTCTCTCTAGAGAATCTCCAGAAACTGTGATGATACTACCTATGATTAAAACAGAGGAAGGAGAAACATAATCATCACCATCGTTTATTTTAAATAAATGAAGTACCTTTATTGAACGAAGTGACTCTGAATCATATCGAAAATGCTGACAAATATTCTAGTAGCAGAATCATTCTTGAAAAACCCACAATTATATATTAATAATATAAACATAAAAGAGAAGATACCCAGAAAAAGTTATGGAGGAAACAGAGCTCGTAGCAGAGAATTTAAAATTAATAATGTCAGATTTTCTTCAATTATTGAGTAAGAAGGAAGAATTAACAGCCAACACAGCTTTTGTCCAAAGCATATCAGCTCCATTTAAGGCGAGAAACAGAAAAATTTTCAAAAAAAGAAAAAAAAAATCAATACAAATGGTAATGATAGGATTTAATTAATACCTGTGGTTAAGATTAAGATGATAAACAGAACAGAAAAGCTCCATGACTCTGTATCGTCTTCCGACATGATCATTTACAATACGATCCTTTTCTTCTTCCTCCTCCTCTTCTTTAGTTTTAAAATTTTTGTCCCTCTTCAGGTGTGAGAATTTTCTCAGAAACCCATCAAGAAAAAAGAGAAATTTTTTTCCGAGAAAAATATGAAAATATTCAGTGTGGTTTGAAGAACAGAGCCTGCAGTTGTAGACCAAATGAAACCCAGAAGAAATTGTTAAGCACTGTTTATTCTTTTTTTTCTTCTTCTCATTTCTCTTTTAGTCTCAATAGACAATTTCAGCTTTGGCTTTTCTAAGCAAAGACTGAAACTTTTTTCTTTTTAAAATAATTAAGTTGATTATTTAATGAATGAGTAGAATCAAAAGGATAATCAAATGTTAATTATGTCAGTAAGTGTTTTTCTTTTCTGGTTAAATACATAAATTAAGTGAATAATTAATTGTTCTTCTTTGGTGGGAAGAGGAAGGAAGAGCCGGTGAGCCGCCCATCTTGACCGGTTCGACCACTCGGCTCTACGGGTTTGACCCACGGCTCAGACCGTTTTGATGTTTTGCACGTTAATTTTTTTTATTTTTTATTTAAAAAAAAATAAGATGCTTTTATATATGTATAATTTAATATTTATGTATGAAGGTGAAAGGGATATGAGGGAATAAATTGAGCGGTTGATCGGTTGGTGAGTTGCTGTAGAAATCACATGTAAATTAAAAGAGGATGTATCATGTTTGGTATTACTTTCTTCTTACCTATGGTTTTAGAATTTTTCATTATTTATTTATTTATTTATTTATAATCATAACTACATATGTTTTATAATTAGAAAAATTACCGATAATTTTAATTAAAATTAATATTGTTTACACAATAATTAATGCCTATGTGCACACGTGGAATTGACATGCAAATGTGAATTAGAAAATGGGGAACAGCCATTATCATTTAAATTTTGACAATATGATTATAAAATGTTCAAAATACTTAATTCTCAATAAATATATACTTTGAATGGACCCAAAAAATAATAATTTTAAATTATATTAATGTGCGGATGAATATGAATATAATTAATCTTCTAATTAATATAATTAAGTGTGTGTGTGTGTGTATATATATATATATATATAATTATTTATTATAACAAGACTGTTTCCTTTCTCTTTTTTATTCAAAATGGTTTTGTTAGTCTTAGCCGTTTTAGTAGAAAATATGAAGTATGATGCAATCAATTTTTTTTTTTTTACTTAGCATTAATTAACTTTTGGGAATAATTATTAGTGTAATTAATTGAGTTAATCTTTAATAAATTTTATTTGATGGTCATAGTATCTAACAAATTAACTATGTTGAATTAATAATGCATGTATTTTTCATGAAATTGGAATATATTTTCCCAATTTTACTTAAATTTTCTGCAGACTTTTTTTTTTTTTTTTTTTTAATCACACTTTCATATTTTCTATGTTATTATTAAATTGAATCAAACATAAAATTTTGAATAAATTAATCTTATAAGGGTTAGTTTACTTATTTTTTAATAAAATTTTGCTAAAATTGTACAATTCACATATCTCATTTATTTTTTAATTAATTCATAAATATGAAATTTATATGTATGTTATAAATAAAATATATACCCAACAGTAAATAAACCTTAATCCGATGCATGAAAAATACTTTTCCGTCCAAAAATAAAAAAATTATAAATTTAACAAAATATTTTAATTTCGTTTCAAAGGCTTAATCAATCTAATCCAGAATAATTTAAAAACTAATTAATTGTTTAAGAATTTCCTAGAAAATTCTACATAAGTGGGGTCTCATTCATATAAAACTTTGAATATATATATATATATGTATATATGTGTGTTTGACCACTGTGGGCACGACATTTAGACAGGACAGATCTCATGGTTTTTTTTTTTTTCAATTAAAAATATTAATATTTTACTATTTAAAAATAACAAAAAAAAAGGAAAGAAAAAGAAAGTCCACGATAAGGTAGTTTAAACAGTTTTAGTCAAATTAAAATTCATTAATTAATTTAATTAAATCGGACCAGATGTTGGAAAATTGTACTAATTGTACCAGACTGATGGAAATGGTTTTTTAATTTGAAACGAATTTAATCTTCTACTAATTAATTAAAATTAACAATGTGAATACCTGCGAGCACATATGTTATGGTAGAAGAAAATCAACACAAAATGACAGTTGAAAAAGACATTAAAAAGAAAATTTTGAAGAGGATTAGTATTAATTAATGTAAGGCTTTGATGTTGACTGGTCAAAGCAAAAATAAAGATTTCATCAAAATTTTATATATATATATACAATCTTATTATTATCCTTAGCATATACACTAATCATATATTTATAATTTTCACAATGTTTATTCCCTCATTAAGCAAACTATGCTATTCTACATTTATATAAATATATAACCAATTAAGAAATTTCACGTATGAAATATATATATATATATGTCTGTATATATTTATGATGCCTTTGTCTATTTAGAGATACTAATGACTTGTGATTATTTTACTAGTTAAAAGTGAAAAATGGGTTATTATTATTATATTTAATTTAGTTTCTTAACTAATTTTTAGTTAAAAATAATAAAATTTAACATGTAAATATAATACATAATTAATCTGTTATATATATATATATAAAAAAAAATTAACCAAATTTTAATTAGCAAGCTCTTAAACTGAATTACTTATGTTTAATATGTTTATAACCCTTACCACTTAAAGGGTTTAACAACTCGTGTCCAATCCACTTAAAACTTTTAAAATTAAAACCTATGAGTGGTTTAAGAGTAAGCTATTGAGATCACTAGTGCATAGTTTACTCTATTTTCTAAATTTGTTTTATGTAATTATTATATCATTTATTTTTTATGATATGATTGTTACTAATTGCATATATATATATATATATCGAATTTTATTATTTTTAACTAAAAAATAAAGTAAACGATAGATTTATAATTTTAAGAATAAACACTGCA